AGGGCCGTTTTCATTCAAGCCAGCACAATTCCTTGTCTACTCATCATCTGAAGGTCAACAGTGACTGCTAATTTTTCACAAGCTTACCTTCAGCTGTGGAAAACATGACATAATTTGAAATCTTACCTTGTGGTTGTAGGCAGCAGATGGCCTTCAGAATTGTTTAATTAATAAATGACATCATCACAAACATGATCCTTTCCAGTTGCTTTTTAAATCACATGGATGAGTAAGTGAGTCAGCATAGCTATGTTCACCAAGGTAAATTACAAAATAGATGTGGACAATTTATTTTAGAATACATTATGCACATAAGCTGAAGCCTAATTTGGATAGATATGATTTTGCCATCAGCTTGCCTGTTTCACCTTGAACAGCTTCTCTACCCAGCTCCCAGCAGTTCCAAAATGTTCAATGTAAACACCCTCGGAAAAACACAGACCTTCAGACAAATTTAAACAAAAATGCAAATGATCCTTGAAACTTACAAGTGGGACATTTATGAAATTTTCCCCAAACAGTTCTTGAGCGAGCATTCCTGGTCGCACACCTGCTGGGGCCCAGGAGATAGCCCCACTCTGCACGTTCAGGTTTAAGATTTCGTCTCCAGGCTGGGCTGTAGCCAACACAGTAAATGATTCATGCAATGGGACTCAGGGGATGTGGAAAATCGATGCCTCATGAAGGCGAAGCCTGGCTGGGAGATGGCATTTGCAGCCACCTGGTGAGGGTACATTTGATGCCTCTCAGACTGGGTGTTGGATTATGCCAGTCCAGGCTGGCTACTAAACCAATTAGCTTGCGAAAGCAGCCACCTTCACTTCTGTCAAGAACATTTAAGATGACAGCAAAGATGAATCTAGCTTTAAAGACGAAGGCAGGGGATAAAGAAAAACATCTTTTTTTTTGAGAAATTGTGATAGATTTCTCCTTAATGTCTAAACACCTTGGAATGCAAATACTTGAGAAGAGGTGCAAACGGAGGGACATGCAAACTGTGGGCAACCCACCACGTACCGGATGCTGTCGTACTGACCGTGTGATGAGGCACAATGTTTTCTTTCACGGTGGTTCTCATGTGGGTGTGAACATGTGTGTCACAGTCAATATGATGTGCCTGTACTTAGCACACGGAGCATGCATAAAGCTGAAAAGCTCACTGAGAACTCCTGTGAGGGCTGGAGGGATGGCTCTGTGGATAAAGATACCTGCTGCTAAGGCTGATGACCTGAGCTGAGTGTCATACCCAGGATTCACATGATGGAAGGAGAGAACAATACCATGGTGGAAGTTGTCCTTTGACCTCTACTTGTGCTGTGACATGCACTAGTGAGCACACACACACACACACACACACACACACACACATAATCAAAAACAATTCTGATCCTCTGTGGCCATCAGATCTGAGCACTCCTCGGGTTGGAGTAGAAACCATTTTGGCCACCCTCGTGTTGATGCTAAATGGATGATAAAACATGTTCTGTTGAGCTTTGGACTCCAGCCTGCTGCTGAATTTTTAAGGGAATGGATGCTATAATACTTGGAAATCAAGTGAACCACACTTACTTTTTCAGCCAGAAAACAGAGGCGTCTCTCCAAGCAGGCAGTAGCTATTGCCAAGAGAAAGGGCTGCTGACTTGGGGAGCGAGCCTCAGTTCTGGTTTCATAAAACACCTTCTGCTGTCTGCACAGGCTATTTCTTTGCAGTGTTACGTTGCTCTCCTTGTCTCTGTCTATTGACTCAGCTGAGGAGTGAGTACCCTGAGGATACGGTTGCTTTCTGAGCTCCCTCTGCTGCCTTAGCAGCCGGGCAGGCAGTCTTGGATGGAAATGTCAAGCCAGATGTCACACTCCTCTACAAGATATTCAGGGATAGGATGACCTGGTGGCTGGCTAAGAAGACTCTTCATTCACCACATTTCTTCAGGCTTTCCAGAATGGCCTCTGCAAGATATTCAGGGATAGGATGACCTGGTGTCTGGCTAAGAAGACTCTTCATTCACCACATTTCTTCAGGCTTTCCAGAATCTTCAAGACTAAGAGCAGGGCCCACTTTTTTGTTAGACCTCTAAGAAATGGGTCCACAGGCCTGGTCCCTTGTCTATATCAGTTCTTGTCCTTTCCTTCAGAATGTCCTTTTCAAGGTCAAGAATAGTCGATTCTCAGAGGCCATGATCACTGATCACTAAAGATGTAGCTGAGTATGTGACAGAACTCTCACATAACCAGGTTAGTGAAAAGTGCCTTGAGGTGTGTTCCTGTCCCTACCCCTCTCTGAATCCTCTATCTAGACACCAGGCAAAGTCCTACTGTGGCAGTGATGACTCTGCAGGGTAATGACGGTGGCAATGGTATGACTACAATAGAGAAAACCCAGCTTCTTTTGATTTGCAGTTTCCTTTTGCATCCTGTTCATAATAGCCAGACATTTCCATTTGTACGCAGGTCTGCAAACAGGACATCATATCACATTACCAACCGATGCCAACCAGAGGTGATATCCGGTCCTTCCATTTTGCCCCTGTTGACAGAGGCTGATGGAAGGTCAGGGGCAGCAAATATTTTAAAATCCTCAGCCCAGAGCTTCTGCCTCACAAGTGTGTTCTCTTCTTTGTCCTTCCTTCTTCCAGCATCTCAGCTGTCCCTGCTGAAGGACCACCCCCAAGTGCCTTTTCTCATTTGCTTTTTCACAGTTTTCTAGTCTATGCTCATGACAGACCAGTGGAGCAGGCATTGGTGCTTCCCTGTTGCACAGGATGGATCAGAGGCTCAGGGAGGTGTATCAAATGTTGGAGCTGGGGTTAAACTGAGGCCGTTGTGATCAGAAAGCCTATGCTCTTTCAACTGCTACGTGGGGGTCCTCTTATGGGTGTTTATACCAACAACTTATTGTTCATTTCTGGATTATATAAAAATAGGTCATTATTTCTAAAAATGATTGAAAAGTCTACAAAAGACCCTAAAATCACTTATAATCCTGTTCTTCTAGAGACAATCACTATTGATGCACACTGGACATGCAAACTTTAGCTTCTATCTTGCTTCCACTAAAGGGATGTCAGCTTCCCAGACTGCCTCTCATGTGGGGGTGAGGTGGGAAAATTGTATGTTCTCGTAGTTACGATTAAAGGAGATGTCTCTAAAGATCTTAGTCACCTAGGGAAGCGGTGAACACTTGCTAGTGTTATGACCCTACTTTGAGCTTTTCAATGTCCAAGTAACCGTTTTAAACTCACTGTGATTGCTGAATTATTTTTACCACATGAGTATGTCTCATTTGACTGAATTGTTTTATTTGGTTGTACTGTTTAATGAATATCTTTCTTTTTGCCTCACTAAGAGTTAAATATTTGGATTGTTTTCCTCCTTTTGACTCTTGTAAATTGTTTTGGGGTTGGTGGGGTGAGGAGAGGACATTATAGTAGGGGAACTTCATCTTTATCTGCAACATATTATTTATTTTAAAAACCATATAAAAGACAAAACCAGAAAGACAAATATAGAATGTACTCACTCATAAGTGGATATCAGAAACAAAGCAAAAGATATCCAGCCTATAATCCATAACCCCAGAGAAGCTTGAACCCTCTTCCAGAAACAGATGGAAGCAGATGCATAAGTCCACAACTAACCAATGGGCCAATCTCCTGGAGTACAATCGAAGTGAGGGAGGAGCAAAAATATGAACAAAGGAGTCAAGACCGTGATGGGGAAACCCACAAATCAGCTGACTGAGCTAGTGAGAGATCACTGACTCGGTCTAACAAATGGGGAACCCTCATAAGGCCGAACTAGACTCCCTTAATATAGATGACAATGGTGTGACTGGGACAATATATGAGGCCACTGGCAGTGGGTCCAAGATCTAACACTAATGTACAAACTGACTTAGTGGAGCCCATTCTATATGGAGAGATACCTTGCCCAGACTAGCCACAGGGGTGTGGGGGTGGAGAGGTGCCTTGGTCCTGCCTCAATTAGATGATGGGACAGACTTAGTAGACTTCCTATGGGAGGCCTTACCCTCTCTGTGGAGCAGATGGGAGGAGGGGAGGATGGAGGGAGTGGGAGGGGGAGGGGGAACTGTGACTGGAATGTAAAAATAAATTAATAAACAAGAGGAAAAACATATAAAAGAAATATAAGGCAAAATGATAAACTATTAATATTTATTGGCTCTGAGAGGTAACTATAAGGGGCCTGACCTTATTTTCTGAGCTGTTTGTAAATATGTGATGGTTGATTATTTAACACTTAAATATTATGACTCAAGGTGAATATTCTTATACACTGAGCTTTGAACATTTACAGGCCTAATTCTGCAGCAGGGAGTCTGAAGTGGCCATATCTGGGGTGAAGTTCTATCATTGAGTTCACCAGAAGGGTCAAGTATCATTTTGCAGACTCCATTTCTGTATTCTCCTCAATTGTGGTTTCTGTCATTTTGAAATATTTGCAAAAGGTAGAAGAGTTGTGTTTCGAAAATGACTATGGAGTTAATTACTTTTCTGGTTATGACACACTATCTGAAGAGAAGCATCATCCAGAAGGAAGGCTCTATTTTGGCTCTCATTCAGAAGGGAAACAGTCCATCATGGTGGGGAAAACACATGCAGTCAGGAAGTAGAGTGTGAACAGGAAGTGGGGCTGTGGTAAAAACCTCAAGCCCCGCCCCCAAGTGACTCTAGACTTCTAGTAAGGCTCTGTCTCTTAAAGGTTCCACATCCTTCCCAAACACATCCATCAACTGGGAACCAGGTATTCAAACACATGGTCCTTTGGTGACATTTCACATCCGAACCAAAATAGGTGTACTCTTGGTTTTTCTTTATAATTCGTCAGTGACCCTTAAAGTTAAAGATATTAAATCTTGATTTGGATTACTCACAGAAAATAATCTTTCCTGGGTTCGATGACCCTTACGTGGAGTTAGTGGTGTCATGCTGATAGTGACTATTCATGCTGTGCCGTTTCTCTGTCTCTGCCTTCAGACCTGCAGTGGAAGTCTGGGCACATGGCCGAGAGTCTCACCAACATGCCCCGGCACTCACTCTACATCATCATCGGAGCTCTCTGTGTGGCCTTCGTGCTCATGCTCATCATCCTGATTGTGGGCATCTGCCGCATCAGCCGCATTGAGTACCAGGGCTCCTCCCGGCCAGCCTACGAGGAATTTTACAACTGCCGCAGCATTGACAGCGAGTTCAGCAATGCCATCGCGTCCATCCGGCATGCCAGGTGAGCTCCAGGGTCTGCAATGAGGGAGACATCACACCTGGGCTCCCAGGTTATGCTACCATTAAGACTGTACAGCCACAAGGGAGGGTCTTAAAAAATAAAACACAGGCTGAACAAGGTATCAAGACAGAGCTCTAGCCCATTTCATGAGCAGCCCTTTAAACCTGTGGCTAGTTGTGTTAACCTGCAACTGTACACACATGATTTTCACCACTGTGCATTGAACATTTTAAAAAATATGTCTCTGTGTGTGCATGTGTATGTATGGATGCCTGTGCATGTCGCTTCTGTGTGTGTGTGTGTGTGTGTGTGTGTGTGTGTGTGTGTGTGTGTGTGTATGTGTCTCAAACTCAGAGATCCGCCTGTCTCTGCCTCCCGAGTGCTGGGATTAAAAGTGTGCACCACCAATGCCCTACTGAGCAGCAAGGACTTAACCATGGAGACATCTCTCCAGCTCCCTGGGGTTGGTATCAAGAGTAGGGCTGTGGAAACTGTTGGCAGTATTGTCTTTATTAGGATGGTATCTCAGTAAAGACACAAACGGGCCCCAAATCTGTAGAGTGGAAGCAGGAGATAAGAGGTTCAGAGTCTTCCTTTCCCAAGGGGAAAGTTCCCCAATCCAGGTTTCACACTTAAGAGTGACATTGTTGCTACAGAAACAGGAATAGAGCCTGTTTCCAGGGAGAGGAGCCAGAGAAGTGAATTTGGATGACTTGGAGTATCTGCCTCAATGCCTCACTGGGAGCTGTACCCTGGGGTTCTTGTGGCTATGAGGGAGAAGACCTGGTAGACTCAAGACCCACCCACATGGCTATGTATCTGGATGCTTCCTCTTAGGGTCAGCTCCAGCAACCCAGCTTCCAGGAAGCCCAGGACCAATCCATACAAGCCCCACTGTTTATTTAAACCTCCCCTTTCAGTCCTGCCTCTCCAACAGGTCCTGGCACATAGCAAATGTCACTAAAATCTGAGGTCTGACATGAGTGGATGATCTCAGTTTGTGTTGGCATAGGATGTTTTGTCTTGTCTGAGTCCCCAAGTACTATGGTCCCAGCCAACAGGACTAGTTCCAGCATCCTAAATCACTGGGCTGGAGGCAGAGGATGCAAAGGAGAGTGGAGAACTGACAAGTTTCCTTGGTGCTGAAGTCTCTCTTGTACTCCTGTAAGAACTTAGCTCATAGGAGGAAGCAAGAGTATAATGTTATACTTGGATGTTTGGGAGACCCAGAAATGAGAGTTACCTATCTCAGAGGATCTGTGACTCAGAGCCTTTGTGACCCCCTCCCCCCAAGTGGCAGAATATGGCACATCGGGCCCAGATCATTTGAGAGGAATGCTGTGGGGTACGATGCTTCTGCATGTTACAAACCTGATTCCTATTTGTTGCTCAGCTTTATAAAATTTCACAGTGCATAATCCTAGCCAGCAAGCTCCGGTGTCCTGTAGTAATTACAGAGGAAAACAGTCCACAGGAAGGCCACACCTTCCCAAGGATCTGGAATTCAGGATTATTTCTTGCCTGAAGGGCACTGCAGCTACAACCTGATCTGCTGCCTGCCATGAAGAGGCTGCAGCCAGACCGCTGGCAAATTGGCCTTCTTTGCTCCCTCTGTTCCTGGAAACTCTAGGAAGATCATGGCCAAACTCAGTCCTTTTGATGTTCCCTTCTCTCTAGTTCCCAAACATGGCCCATAGCAAATGCCCATTTCACAGGCTGTTTCCTGGTGGCTAGCCTGGAAGTGATACTGAGTAGGAATGACCATAGCCCAGTGGTCACACAAGGTACATTCCAAGTGGGTCACCTGAGACATTCATGACGGATCAAGAAAGCATCTGGCACCTCTGGTAATAGCTATCAGCTAGATTGAGAAGGCATTTATTCTCCTTTGTCCCAAAAGCCACCTGTCCCACAGATGCTTTGCTTACACCTAGGTAGTAGAGTGACTGTCACTATCAGCAGGCGCAGATCCATGGCTCGCCCTGGCCAGACAGTGAGGTTATATCTTGGTGCCTAGGGCTATCATCTAGAAGTGTTTACCCACAGAAAACAGGGAAAGGAGGACAGAAAGACACATTCTCTTGTCCTCAAATACCAAACCTTCAGATTCAGGCCTTGCTTACGATCAGATCCACCTGACTTTCTTTGTGGTGTTTTTTTTTTTTTTTTTTTTTTTTTTTTTTTTTTTTTTTTCTGCTTTCAGGGGACTCTGAGCTAGGAGAATGTGCCTTTTTCTGCCTTATTTATGACTGGCTGTAGCGTCTTTTATTCTTTCAGAGAATGAGTACTGAGACCAACTAGGGTGGCCCACCTGTAGCCCATTGGCTGCAGATGGCTCAGGAGAGCTATAAATGTAGCCCAGTACAAAACGGTAAACTTATATATATACATCCCTTTTGTTGGTTTGTTTTGGTAAATTGTGTGTTTCTTGAGCTTGTAGATGAAATTGTAGTACAGAGAAGAGAAAAGGAGGGTACAGTCTCTGGAAGTGGCCAGTATATAGGGGACACTCTGGGAGCAAAGGCTAGTTCTGAGGAACAAAGACATATGAAAGGCAGTCAGAGTTCCAGTACGACTGTTCATAGCCATTTATGTACTGCCTTGAGGAAAAGGAGTGCCCTCTAGTTAGGGACTTGAAGTACCGGATGGCAGCTCCTAGTCTGTGGGTCCACTCTTCTTGTCTTAGGTGTGTTAGTGTGACCTCACCCAGCTTTTGTCACCAGCATGACACTTTCTGATCCATGCAAATGATTTCATTGGCATTGTGCCATCTAACCACGCAAGTGAGTCTAGACACAAGGCAAGGTGCCCTGTTAACACATCCTCTTTGCACACATGCAAGTGAGTGGACCTATCCTTTGGCTGTCATGCTCAATGGATTTGCAACACTCTTTCTCAAACTTTCCTTATCAGTCTTCAGCACCATGGTGGCACTTAAGTTCTTAGTCATTTGAATCACTGCTTGTTAAAACATGGCACAGAGACATCTAATTTTCTAAGTTTTAAGAAAACGGAATCTTTTTCTAACTGAAACCATATAACAAGTGGCTTTAAATGGTGCATTGAGCTTGTTCGGTTGTTCTCATTGCTTTTCTTTTGGCCAAACAATCAATTAATTTAGTCAGCTAAGGCATGATTCATTCTCACCTCACAGGAAAATATCCCAGGGCCACCAGGCTAGGGCAAAGGAAGCTCCCGAGTTGTTAGTTTTTTATTTATTTATTTTAAATCATCACTGTTGTTATAAATGCATCTAGCTATTTTATGAAAAATAATTTGTCAAAATTTTCTATTGTTAAGTAGCTTCCTATGTTTTCACTTGAGAAAAGTATAGAATTTAGCAAGCATTATGGAATGGCTACTTTTCCCATCCTAGGCTTGCATGGGCCTCATTCAGGCAGATTAACAGGCTATATGCTGAGGTTCAACCCCATGTCAATGCCAACACAGTTTTTGGGTGTTCGGTAAGGAGGATTTCTATGAATTTGAGGCCAGCCTGGGCTATATAGCAAATTCCAGACCAGCCTAGGCTACAGAGTGAGACCTTGTCTCGAAGAACCCGTCTTCCAACCCCCCAAATCAAATCTTACTTGAAGAGTGTTCTCTTTCTCATTCCCCTCTGGCTCCTACTTTTTATCTTTGTATGTGAGAAAGGAGACATTCAAAAGTTAGAGAGAGAGAGAGAGAGAGAGAGAGAGGAGAGAGAGAGAGAGAGAGGATGGAGGAGGGAGCCATGGTAAATAACCCCCTCTGATTCCTTGGGGACCATTCTTAACCTTTTTAAAATTTAAGGTGGTTTTTTTTTTTTAATCTCTTTCTAATGAGCCCTGTTGGAAGTAAAACAAGTTATTTTTTTAAAAAGCCATATATAAGAAGAAACCGTGGTAGGTTCCCTTGGAAGACTTTAAACTGTTTTACTCCAGAGGCTTTGGGGAAAGTGAGGTCTCAACTAGGAAGAGACCACCCAGAAGTTGAACTGGCCATGTTTTAATAATTACTCTCTGAAGACTGGGTTGGCAGAAAGTCTTGCACTTGGAGTTTTGACTCCTCTGGCTTCTGGGCATCACTCCTGCTGCCGAGGCGACAGTGTCAATATGCTTAGGTCTGTTGGGACAATAGCTTGGTACTCAGAAAAAAAGAATACCCCTGGGGGCTGAGAAAACTGAAGGGTGGGATTTGATGGTGAGCCCTGGAAGCGTTTGTAGACATTTGTTGTTGGTCGTTTTCTTTGTGCTGTGCTTTTTGTGTTGGGATTTCAGATGACCTCAGAATCTTTCCCGTGTTCTCTCCAAACCCCCAGGGGAGAAGCTGTCTGAGTGCTGCTTGGGGACTACTGCCTGCTAGTTATGAGAGGGGATGTAAAACACAACCGTCTCTGCACATATTTATAGTCTTGAAGAAAAGGAGAAATGGATACACATTTTTCTTAAATCTGGCATGGAGATGTCCTGCCTGACTCGCCAAGATTTAACCTGGATGCTTTAACATTTATCCAATTTGTCTCCTGGACTAAAGACTAATGTTTATTCCCCTTTAGTGTTAATATCAGGGTGCCTCAAGTTTTTCTACATGCTAAAGAATATACTTAGGGAGCATTCTTATTGTTCCGCTCGATTCTTGAATGTTAACTTCTTGTATGTAATGTGTATACACACACATATATGCTTGTATGTCTGCTACATGTAGGTATGGGAGTGTATGTGTGTGTATTGTACGGAGGTTATGCCTGTATATGTGTATGTTGTATGTATGTATGTATGTATGTGAATGTATGTGTGAGTGTGTGTAGGCCGGAAGTCCATGAGCAGCTACTTTCTTGGTTGTTCTGCCTACTAAGTTTCCAGAACATTAGTCTTTCCCCGAATCATTCCTACCATTCACCTTTAATAGAACCTGGGGTCCAATACTTATGTAAACAGTATCTGCTCTGTTTGTGCTTCCAGGTTTGGGAAGAAATCTCGGCCTGCAATGTACGATGTGACTCCCATTGCCTACGAGGATTACAGCCCTGATGACAAGCCCTTGGTCACCCTGATTAAAACAAAAGATTTGTAATCTTCATTTTTTTGGATTATTTTTCAAAAAAGATGAGATACTAAGATCATTTAAATATTTTTAAGAAAATTAAAAAGCTTAAGAAATTTAAAAATGTTAGCTGCTCACGAGTTTTCAGTAGACTACCGAGGAACTAAGTTTCTGCAGCTTTTAGTTGGAAAAAAAAGTATTTTAAAAAAAAACCAGAATTTGTGAAATCCCTAGACTATGTTTTAATGTACCTTCAGCTCTCAACACTGTCTGCTTCGACAAGGATGGGCTCTTTTGACAGTAGACCCTACCAAGAAACCCAGATGGACTTCTGTGGTTGTGACAGAGTTAGGTCTTGCATAGGAAGAATTTCTTTTGACGTGTGAGTGCCGGCTTTCCGAGTAGAGTTAGGAAAATAAGTAGTGTATGATGCGTAATTCAGTATAACCGTTACTTAATACGATGTGATGTCTGAGATGTTTGTTTTGTGAAAAAGAAAACTAGTTACATTTATTATTCCTAACCCGAATGAAATTAGCCTCTGCCTTATTCTGTGCATGGGTAAGTAACTTATTTTCTGCACTGTTCTGTTGAACTCTGAGGAAATGTTGTTCTTTCGAGTTTGTTTTAGTCATTTTTGTATCCATCCTTGAACTTGACCTTGTAAACACAAACAAGGGAAGGGTCTAGGGAGGCGAACACTGATCAGCTTCAACCTATATATATATATATTTTCCCTTTTAAAAGTCAAGTGTTTTTCTTTTTAATTATGAGTGGATTAAATTACGTTGCAGGTGTTTCTTGCTAAGAGGTAGTGACATGTAAAAGGTGCCGGTCCCTTCTGTAGTGTTTCTCATAGTGCACCTTTATTTATACCCAAGACATTTTTGTGGCTGTATTTGATTGATATGTGCTTCTTATGATTCTTGCTAATTTCAAAGAATATTGAATAAACGTTAGCAGGTCGAGGATCTACTTGTCTCATTCTTTAAAAATTAACCTGAACTGTTTCAAATATGATATTGGCTATCAGCCCATCCAACTGTTCATGACATTTAAAAAGCCTGAGGGACAGCTTGGATATGGTTTGAATGTATCTCTAAGAGGTTCATGTGTTAAAGGCATGATCCCCAAGAATTGACATGGGACCTTTAAGAGGGTGTGGCTTGGGGAAAGGTCTTTAAGATTAGGACTATGGTAATTCTCTCGAAAACCCATTACAAGACAGTTCAGATCCCGAGTGTCTTTCTGGCTTCCTTTATGACACCATGACTCCCACCATTAAGAGACCATCCACCATGAGTCCTTCACTTCATCTTTGAATCTGAGCCTCTATTTGGAGCTCAATAGGCCCCTCTTTCTTTATAAAACTAGCTCACATCGGATATTTTGCTGCCCCCAACATTATTGGCTAAACCGATCAAAATCCCACAGCAGCTTCCTGATGGTTGGTGCTGTTTGTCAACATGAAGAGTGGGACGAGAATCAGAGAAATTCTTGTCTAAAGCCATGAATTTGCATTTGCTTATGAGACACAGGTTGTGTCAGTGTTGAACCGACATGAGATCTAAGGACATGCCCACTGCTAATAGGCAGGTACCTCAAGAAATATCTTCCGTGCTGCTCCTCTTTGTAGGTGGAATGAAATTGCCCCAGAGAACAGCTCCTCACCCTTAGAAACCTGAAGGCAGTTTAGAGTCTCTATGCATCCAATTTCACTCTTCTCCGTACCCTGTATCGAAATCCCACTATCATTTTTTTGGGGGGAGGGGATGTATCTTTAACTTCACATGGAACCATTTGATGAGGCCAAAAGACATCAGGAAATCAGGTGGGAGGGAGGGCATTAAGGCAAAAGTAATTTCAGATGCTTCTCCATCTCTCGCTACCCTCAGAACATCTGCCCCTCATCTAACAAATGACATAACAGTACACCTACACCCTAGTTATTAAACAACACAGTGCAATATGCTAGCATTCTAAGTGTTTGGAAATAAAGTAAGGATGAAATGTTAACTCTCTTAGTTACATAACTTCTGGAAACACACTGCAGAGTCGTTGTAGATAAAGACATCTGGACGGAGGACAGGAGAGGGCCAGGCAATACTGGCTTACTACAACTCTATTTCTATGGATTTTCCCTCAGAGCTCCAGAGTAGTGTCCACAGGGTTGAACGTCCTCTTAGGTCATTTCCACCCTCTCTGATTTTTAAAACTATATGGCTCTCAGTCTCTCTGTGCTGTCTCTTTGTCTGTCTATATGTCTCTGACTCTCTCCTCTCCCTGTCTTTATGTGTGTTGTATGCAGGTGTGTGCCTGCACATGTGGGAGCCACAGAAAGGAGCCACAGATGTCCTGTTCTGTGACCCCCACTTCTCCTTTTGAGTTCTGGAGCTCACCAGTTCTTTGTCTAGGCTGGCCGGTCAGCAAGCCCCAGGCATCCTCATCTTACCCCCTTTTGCTTCACGGGCCTTATGGGAAAGTGAGGGTATACTGTGCTCTTACCTGGTTGCTGGGGATCCAAACCCAGGTTCCTATGCTTGAACAGTTCGTGCTCTTGCCTAGAAAGCCATGTCCCCCACCACGATGGGTACTCATCTCACAGAGCACTAGTTCTGGGTTGGGTAGATATGAACAACAAGAGCTACAGAGAAGAATCCTAGCTTGCAAGTTTGGCTTGCTTTATATCAGCCTTTCGTCTAGTAAGCAAATACATATATAATTACCCATCTATGAACACACTGAAGGGCAGATGAACCCTGACCTGTGGCAATGTATTTATAGCAGAGCAGATTAAAACTTTGCTTTAATCACTTACTTGAAAATGGCTTTGGGCAAGTAACCGTGTGTGCTTAAGCTTCATGATTTGGAAAAGAGGTTTTGATAATGCCAGAGAAGATTGCATGTATATTGTGTTTGCCACCTCCAGTATATGTGAAGCATTCAGCATGTCTCTTGTTATTATGGTTGCTGGTGTTCTTATTTTTAGATGTGGCTATTGTCACAAAGTAGGTTAATATGCCCTTTTTGATGGTAAGTGCTTATGGCCCACAGTGTGTCCTGCTGTACTAACAGTAATACAGCAGGGAGCATCATCTCCAAGGTGTCAAGTCCTCCAGAATCACACTGAAGTTGTCACTCTGTACTACCCATGAAGTCAGCATTTGATAAGTAAGACTAACTGTGCTTGGGACCGCAGGAGCTTGTGATGGCTTCTGACTTTGTGGGGTCAAGTCAACTTTGTTCTATCCACATGCTCCCACAAGGCTGTATGGACAGGCATAGTTCTAGTCTACAAATGGCACAGCAGTGTCTCCACAATTCTATATGGACAGAAAAAGCTCTAGTCTACGAATGATGCAGTAAAGTCTCCAGCCCACTCGGGAGGGATTTTCTAAGCTCTCCTTTCTTGCAGTGAAGTGGTCAAGATACACACCAATAAGTTGTTTAACAAGGTTTTTGGCAATCGTTTGCTTATTTCATTTCTTGATATACCTGCAGTCTCTACTTAGCACAAGGAGGCTCAGAATTCCTGTCTTCAGATCGTCAACCTCTACCTTGGTCAAGCAGTCATTCTACCCTAGTGGCTTCTGCTTAATTCTGTGAGGCTATGTGTAGAAATTGTAATTTGAATGATTTGCTCTGGTTATCTTTTCCACCAGAACTGTGGAGCTCATTAGATCCTTTTCTCAAATGATGTTCTACAACAAGCTTTAAAAAATTGTAGGCACAAGTACATCAAAATCAAAATTTTTAGACATGATAGATTTTATAGCTTATTAATAGGGACAGATGTGAAGGACCACAACAAAGAAAATATATGCCAATCACTGAGTTTTAAGTAGCTATATAACCACTCTGTACCATGGGCTGCTGCTACCCCAGCCATTCCTTGACCCCTCTTCCGGATGCATCAGAGAACTAGCAATGTCAAGTGTCATCTTTCTCAGCTCCCTTTGTTCTTAGAGCTGAACACATGGCTTTGGTATTGGTCTGTGGGACCTTAAAGGAAATCTCCTGGGACTTCCTAAAAGTATTTCACCCTCCCCAAGGAGTGATGGGACTCTACTAGAGAATCCTTGGATGTTTCCAATAAGGGGAACCCCAACTCTCTCCTGCTACAACAGAAAGGATCTGGACCTTTGTGTTCATCCTAGCAGGATCCCACCATCCCTAATTTGACTCCACTGTTACTCACCCTCACCCTCACCCTCCACAAAGTGAAGAAGGTAAAAGTGGTTAATTTAGACCAGGTGTTGGTAAACTTGGATCCCATCTTTACCTCTTCCAAGGCAACTCTCAGCTGAGGTGATTTCTCATATCTTCCTTGTTTCTTAACAGTTCTCAGTAGTATTGGCCAAGTATTGTATTTATTGTTCTTCTTTGTACACTTGTGGATGTTTGACTCACAACCAACCAGGGTCTATAGTTTTGGGGAGGAGATCCACAGAGATCCAATGTAGGTTTCATCGTATCCTATCAAGAGGACCTTTTGTCAACACCGGCTTATCTACATTACCTTCTGAAGCCATGCTTGCCATAAAAGTACTCCACATCACCCTCTTTCTCTACTGTACTCGTTGTCTGCAATGACCCCATTTAAGCAATGGGGAGTTATGTCTACCTCATTAAGGGCAATATCTCCATAAATTATTTGAAATTCTGCCTGGGAAATTTATTTATTCTCTTGTCAGATGATTTATTTACACCAGAATGGATTTACGGTTATTAATATTTTGGAGTATAACCAAACACCATCTATCTTATTGACATTGAGAACTTCCAGTGGCAACTGTATTATTGATTTGGCATGCCCCCATTGTGTGTGTGCATGCCCCATGAATGTGCATACCATTTTTTGTTTTCTGGCACAAGGAAATGCTCAAGGTCAGTCTTTCCAATTTCTGCCCCAACCTCAAATCAGCCGTGGTTCTTTTGATGTCAGTGAGTGGCTCCTATGGAAGAGTGCTTCCCAATTTGATTAAGCAAAAAATGTTCCAGATCCCCTAGAGAATCCCTTTCATTAGCAGACTTAA